AGCGGGAGAGGCTGAGGAGGAGGCTTCTTCCACGCCCCAGGTCTTCTTCTGCGCTTCCCCTTTCACCACTGCGACCCCTTTCCCCCCGCTGGCACCCGCTGCGCGAGCCCAAGCCTTCATCCCAGGGCTGGGCCAGCAGGCCGGGAGGGAGGCGCGGTCTCTGATGCGAAGCGTGGCCGCCAAGTTTGACAGCTCGGTCTGGTGGCCAGCTTTGAGAGGAGCGCTCGAAGGCGCCGCGGGGTGGCCGAGATGACCGCGCCTCGCGCGGCGCGCGGCGCGAGGGCGCGACGTCGGGTGGCCTGAGGCCCCCGAGCGCACGCGCTCGCGGCTCCCGATGCAGCAGCTATGGGACCACATGCGAACCCTACCCCTCCCCCCCACGATTTCTGAGGGGTGGGGTGGGGTTCACTTCGTTCGGGAGCTCCCGAGCGAAGCGAACCCCACCCTCCCCCTCAGAAATCGTGGGGGGTAAGGGTAGGGTTCGCACGTGGCCCCCCAGCAGCGGTCCCCGCCAGGCTGCCCGCGCGAGCGCCATCAGCCTGGCGGACAGCCTGACGCCGCCCGCGGCCGCGGCGGTGGCGGAGGCCCCGCCTCGGCGCGCGCGCCCGGCCCCGCTGAGCCTGGACGCCCAGGACGGGCCCTGGGCGCGCGCCGCCACGGCGGCGACGACGACGACGACCGCGACGTTGACGGCGATGACCCCTCCGATCCCTCCTCCTCCTCCTCCTCTTCCTCCTCCTCCTCCTCCTCCTCCTCCTCCTCTTCCTCTTTCCTCTCCTCCTCCTCCCTCCTCTCTCTCCCTCCTCCCCCCCCCCCCCCCCGCCTGCGCCCGGCTTCGGGCCCCGGGATCCTCACGGGTCGGTCCGGCTCGAGAGCGCCTGGGAGCCGGCCAGGGGGCCGAGGTGGCCCAGCAGTGGTTCTGGCCAGGAGGGTGGGGTGCAAGGGGCCTCTTCTGCGCCACGGCTCGGCTCGGCTCGGAGACTTGTCGGCATCGGCCCCGAGAGGGATCGGGGGCCGACGTCGAGCGGATGTGCCCTCGTCCCCCCCCCTGCATGCTTGCGCCGTGTTCTCGTCGCGTCCACGGGAACGACGCGCACACCGAGCGCCTTTTCTGGTATATGGCTTTTCTGGTATACGTATGCACCGTGGCGGGCGTGGTCTGGCAATGCCGCTTGGATAGCAGCATGCTGCATCATCTTTGTAGTGTGCGTTCGGGTCAGACGTGCGCCTACAAGCTGGGCGCACAGTTTTAGCCCGGGCGGGCCCAGGACCTGGACAGACCGTTCCAGAGCGGTCTGGCACGCTTTCAGAGCGTTCTGGGGCGCTGTGCAGCGGCCGCGGTGCCAGACGCATCCTCTGGAACCGCTGGATCTCAGAGATCCCCGCTTTGCCCCGGTCCGCTTCTGTCCTGGCCCTGGCGTCGTCTCAGTCGAGCGACGCAAGCTGGCAGCGCAAGGTCGCGCGTAAGCGCCCTCGCTTCCAGCGTGGCGTACCGCGCTGGCGGCCCGCGTAAGCCACCGCGTAAGGTCGCTGTGCCACCCCGCGTGAGACCCGCTTCTTCTCGTCGCGCCTCAGCGCTCGATCCCAGATCCTCCTCGATCCTCGATCCTCCTCGACCCTCCTCGATCCTCCTCCTCGATCCTCGATCCTCCCTCGATCCTGCCTGGGCCCTCTCTTGCCTTCGTCGCCCGCCCAGCGCGGCCCTCTGCGCCCCGCCCTCCCAGCCGGAGCACCCCCCGCCACAACGCGCGCGCGCGCCGCGGTCCGTAAGCACTTTGGCTCAAGGCCTTTTCGCATCAGTCCTAATCAGGAGGGGAACAAACATACCGACACAATTAATCGTCGATTCCCAAGAAAATATGCGAAAATATGGGAAGTGGGGGGGAGGACAAAACCCAGAACATATATGGGAAAATATCGGGAATCTTTTTATGTGTGTGTGTACTTATGTGTGTGTGTCCTGGGGCCCCTTTACTTACTTCGGGCGCGTCCCCCATACAGGGGGGTTTTCGACGAAAAATAAAGCATACCCCAAACATGCTCCCAAACATACGCCACAATGCTCTAAAAATAGGCCCCCGGACTATTGTTGGATTATTTTTGGACTACTTCTGGGGTCTTTTTTGGTTTTTCGTTGAACATCCCCCTGTAGGGGGACACGCCCGACATAACATCAGTCGGCTATGCCGTCTTCTACACCTCCTTGACGGTGAATTGCTCATTCGAGAACCAAAGCGGCAGCGATCGCTTTCTTGCGAGGCTTGGCGCTGGTGGCCCTGGCCGCCCGCGCAGGAGCGCTTACGGTTGAGGCCGAACGCGCGCAGGTAGAATGGACTCTATTGTTTCGACAAGCAGCGCCCTATTATTTCTCTGTGGGTGAATTTTCGAAGATTGATGGACATCCTAACTCGGACAATTATGCTGGATCAGGTGGATAACTGCCACTTCACGTTCAAGTTGAGCTGGCCAGGTTCTGGACTGCAGGACCAGGTATGGAAGCAGACGGTCAACCCAGTCACATCACCAGGCCAGCAAGCAACCAGGCCAGTCGCAGGCTATGAGGCGGTGGATGTCGCCTATACAGATTCGTATTGGGGAGGCTGAGAAAGTGGTGGTGTCAATTCGCTCTTGGATGGAGACGTAGCGCATAGCAGTTGGTGGTACGCAGTTGGTTCTTTCGCGGCATTCGGCAGGGGCAGCGGTGGCATCCCTGGCCCCGCCTATACAATCGTGCAACAGGTGGAGCTCTGCGTGGCGACGCTGGCCTCGACGCCCAACCCGACGCCTTACCCGACACCCAACCCAACCCCCAGCCCGACGTCCAGCACTACGCCGAACCCGACGCCGAACCCGACGCCGCATCCGACGCCCAGCCCGACGCCCAGCCCGACGCCCAGTCCGACGTCCAGTCCGACGCCGAACCCGACGCCGAATCCGACGGCCAACCCGACCCCCAGCCCGACGTCCAACCCGACGCCGAACCCGACGCCCAATCCAATCCCCTGCCCGACGCCCAGCCTGACGCCAGGACCAACAGCTCCAGTGGCGGGCGGAAGTGGAGTCGTGGCTGCCACTGGCGATCTCCATCCGGGAAGGCATGTTCTCATAAACATCCCCCGTGGAAGGCGTTCCAATGCAATTCTTCGCGCAGAGGCTGCGGCGCATCAATTCGGAGGGCAATGCGCAGACATGTATTTCCAAGAGCTGAATATCACGGGTGCGTGGGTGGATGCGAAGGGAAACGACGGTTTCCGTTTCCAAGCTCAGCGTGCGCGCGATGAGCACCCGCAGTGGTTACATTTTGGGGGCGTAGATTTCAAAATCGCCCATGGGCGCACTGAGCAGGGCGCCTGGTACTTGGACTTCTACGTCAAACACCTTGGGCGCGGTGGGTTTGCCGTCGGAGGGTTGCTCGGAGAGGATGATCACACCGAGGCATCGATGCCTTCGAAGGCGTGTGTTCACCGCCTTCCCTTGGTCGGATAGCGGCTCCGAGTGATAAAAGTGCACGCGTCTTCTCGACTGCAGAGGTAAGCTTAGCATGACGACCTGCGCGCGGGTTGACGGCGATATACATAGTATAGCGGGGGACCTGGCCCCAGAGCCCGGGGGCAGGAGCCCAGACCACAAATGTGTGTGCCAGGGGCCGGGCCAGCACCACTCTCAGGCTGTCTTTTTTGCAGGGCTTCTGAGACTTCTGTGCATGGCTTGTGCCACTTTGCACCACTTTCAGCGGCTGTCCGGCAGCATCTGGTTGCCACTCAAGCTCGCCGAATCGAGCTAGCATCCTTGCCAGCCATCCTCTTCCGACCGTCCTCCTCCCCTTCCTCCTCCTCCTTTTCGGTCGGTTCCCGTTTTGTCTGGTTCCCCATGCTCCTCGCTTGTCGGACCGAGGGGCACGAGTTCGCCGTGGGCGAGAGGCTGAGGCCGTAGTGGGCCGTCCAAGTTTTTACCAGGAATCGGAAGAAGGAACGACAGTAGGTTCTGGACCTTCTGTGCTGGGCTCGACCAATTCGCACTACTGTCAGTGGCTCTCTGTTGCACAGGGCTTCTGATACTTCTGTGCGCAGCTCGCGCCCATTTGCACCGTTTTCAGTGGCTGTCCGTTGTCCAGCGCTTCTGAGACTTCTGTGCAAGGCTCGCGCCAATGAGCACCACTCTCAGGTTGTCTGTTGTGCAGGGCTTCTGAGACTTCTGTGCATGGCTTGTGCCACTTTGCGCCACTTTCAGTGGCTGTCTGGCAGCATCCGGTTGCCACTCGAGCCACCGCTTGGAGGCTGCTGCGCGAGTCCTCTCCCCGGGCATGTCTGTACTGCGCCCCACCAGAGCCGCCGCAGGCTCCTGGCGCCCAGCTGTGAGGCGTTCCTCTCGGGGTCTTGTCCACCGAGAACCTCCTCCTCCTCCTCCTCCTCCTCCTCCTCCGTCCTCCTCCTCCTCCTCCTCCTCCTCCTCCTCCTCCTCCTCCTCCTCCTCCTCCTCCTCCTCCTCCTCCTCCTCCCCCTCCCCCTCCCCCTCCTCCTCCTCCTCCTCCCCCTCCCCCTCCTCCTCCTCCTCCTCCTCCTCCTCATCCGCGCCCCCCGAGGGGGCTCCGCGACCGACCCGAGGCTTCGGCCTCGGCCTCGAGCGCCGGCTCGGCCGACAAGAGGTGGCCCACGGAGGAGAGGGTACCCATATCGCTACCCTCTAGGCCTCCTAGATTGAGGAGGGAAAGAAAGACACAGACACAATTAATCGTCGACTCCCAGGAAAATATGCAATAGTATGGGAAGTGGGGGGAAGACAAAAACCCAAAACATATGAGGAAATATGGGGAATCGTTTTATTTGTGTGTATTTATTTGTGTGTCCTGGGGCCCCTTCATAGATGGGGTCGGAGTAGATGGAGTCGGAGGATCGCGCCGCATTGCCGATGCATCGGCGATGCATCGGCGATGCGGCTCGATGCGGAGCTGGATTTTCTCTACGCCGATGTCACCGATGCATCGCCGACGACGATGCCTCGCAAAAGCATCACCGGTGCATCGCCGATGCATCGCCGATGCGTCGGCGATGCGGCGCGATCCGTCGACCCCATCTACTCGGACCCCATGTAGGAGTCCTCTATACCCTTTTCCCCGTTTCCGCCTTTGTGGGTTTCCTGGGGGACCCTCGTTGCCAACGCTGGATGAGCCTCGACGTCCTGGTCGGAACACGCCCCGGGATGGATGCGGGGAGGAGCGGCATTGGTACCTATCGGTCTCCCCAGGGTCGGACGAACGTGGGTGGGGGACAGCCTTCCGGGGCAAGGCCGCTCCACCCCGAGCTTTTTTTATATTGCGCCCCCGGAGGACCGAGGACCGCCGTCCCGATGCCCTGGAATGGCTGCGTAGGGTGTCTTGGTCCACCTCCAACACCGGGTCGGATGGAAGGGGGAGGGAGGGGGAGGGATCACGGCATCTGCCGCGCGCAATTGGTCTCGGCCTTGTCGCCGGGCCCTCTCCTCGACACGCTGGTGCTTCCAACGACGGGATGGCGTCTGGAAGACCAGCTGCGTGTGCTGTTTCGCTAACACCCCCTTTGCTAGCCCCCTCTTTCGTCCGACCCGAGAGCAGCGCCTTCACCTTCGCGTCGTCTTCGTCGTCGTCGTCAGCCGTCGTCCTCGCCGTCGCCGCCGTCGTTGTCAGCATCGTCGTCCTCGCTGTCGCCGTCGCCGTCGCCGTCGCCGTCGCCGCCGCCATCGCCGCCGCCATCGCCGCCGCCGCCGCCGTCGTGGTCGTCGTGGTCGTCGTCGTCGTCGTCGTCGTCGTCGTCGTCGTCGTCGTCGTCGTCGATCCGCGAACGACCGTCGTCGTCGACGCCGCCGCCGTCGTCGCCATCGTCTTGGCAGTCGCAGTCGCCGTCGTCGCCGCCGCCGTCGCCGTCGTCGCCGCCGTCGTGGGGCACACCTTCGGGCGATCTCTGGAGGTTTCGAGGGGCCCGTGGTGGCCTCCCGGGGGGGCCGTGGAGGCCCCACGAGGCGACCCCGGGACGCGCACCGTGATCGATCCTGGGCCCCGGCAGCCCGACGGGCATGAAGCCGGGGGCCTGCAGGCATGGAGTCCCCGAAGCTCTTCTTCGCACTCCTCGCCGACTCGGCACGAGCCCTGGCATCGCTCGGACGTGTGCGTTTTTTCCTCGGCGAGGACCATCGAGGAGCATCCTTGATCATTTGGCGAAAAAAGCCACGCACGAAACCGAAAAAACACAGGGAATGGACGTCCGAGCGATGGCGAGGAGCAGCCGGTCCTGGGGTGGCCCCAGGGTCGAGGGTCCGTTGCCTGGCAGACACGCCCCTCGCGTCACATGGTCGGGTGCTCTGCGCGCGTGGCTTTACCCTGCCTCCGCTGCGCGCTCACGCTTCAGATGCTGCCAGCGCCGCCGCTTCTCCCCGACCTCCCCCCTCCCCCTGTCTTCCCTCGCCCCCCGCCGTCCCCCCCCGGTTCTCACACCGGCACGCCTCGATCGCACCCGTCGGAGTCGAGCGGCGGCGAAGGAGCGGCGCAGACGCCGCACTGCCCCTCGGCCCTGCACTCCCCCCCTCTCGGCTCGAAGAGGCCTGAGCATCCCCCTCCTCGTGGGCCTCCAACGGCTTGCGAGAAAACAGAGAGCAGAGAGAGAGAGAGAGAGAGCACGACACAGCCATCCTCCGCCGCCGCGGCCCTCCCCTGCTGCTGCTCCGAAGGCTCCAGGCGGGCGCCGACTGCGCGTCGATTCTGCCCACTCGGACTCCCCACGACGTGACTTCTTCCACACTGTGGGCCCTCGGAGGTCTCGACCCCTCTCCCGCGACCAGCCTCTTCGCCTGACGATCCAGGACTCGGCGAACGGCCCCCCAGAGGCAGAAGCTGGCTGCAGAGTGCCTTCGTCACGAGGCGAGGATCTCGGGGCTTCTGCCCATGACTGCCGCGGATGGGCTCGACGTGTTGGAGTCTCGGGGCCCTGGGCATCACGACCCCTTCCATATACTTAGGCTCCTAGAGGGTATTTTTCCCAACCATCCTGTGGTGTTGGGTCCTCGTTTTGAAGAGACGGTGCCCCGCGTTCCTTCCTCCTCCCCCTCCTCCCCCTCCTTGCCTCTGCTCTCGGCACACCTCTCACGCGTTTCGTAGCCCCATAGGGAGCTCCACCGAAGGCCCCAGTGGGGGTGTTCGCATGCGGTTCCCCCACCCAGGGCAGCGTTTCGTGGCCCCATAGGGAGCTCCACCGAAGGCCCCAGTGGGGGTGTTCGCATGCGGTTCCCCCACCCAGGGCAGCGTTTCGTGGCCCCATAGGGAGCTCCACCGAAGGCCCCAGTGGGGGTGTTCGCATGCGGTTCCCCCACCCAGGGCAGCGTTTCGTGGCCCCATAGGGAGCTCCACCGAAGGCCCCAGTGGGGGTGTTCGCATGCGGTTCCCCACCCAGGGCAGCGTTTCGTGGCCCCATAGGGAGCTCCACCGAAGGCCCCAGTGGGGGTGTTCGCATGCGGTTCCCCCACCCAGGGCAG